GTCAGAATCAGAGAGCTATAAATCAGAGAAAGATTAAAAGTATTCTCATCTCATCTGTGATCCAAAGATTATATTAATGATCTTTTTAAACATCTCTTATTAGCTGAACAGTTGTGTTATATTGGAAGTGTACTTGCAAAAATATTGACTAGTCAAAGCAGGTGAACAAATATTGTGGGATAGGTTGGAAAATATTTATAAAATAATATTGTTAACTACTGTGGCAAGCTCAGTAAAGTTACTGAATAACAATACTAAAAACACTATACCCTTCTCTGCATTAAGTAGTAATAACAGTAATTTTACCATTAGAGTTAATAACCTATATTTAGCCAGTACATTTTTCACAATTTTTAAAGCACTCTTTTCCTTTCACTTATCTGATATTTGAAGCAATCTTGTGAGAAATGTGAGTGAGATATATATATATACTGCAGTATTACAGTGAAGGGTACAGGGGAGTAGAAAAAAATGATTTATCAGAATTCAAAATGAATTAGTGATAGTTAAGATGAAATATATTTTAAAATATCAAGGATTGTTCCCACCATATCTATTTTGCAAATCTTCACAAATAAATCTTGTTAATGTTTCAGAGGGAAAAAAAAGAATTTAAAGCATTAGATAAAAATGGATACTGTAGCATTATGTTTTTTATTTTCTTCTGTATATGTAAATAATTTTCAAACATATTTTGTGATTATAAACTATTTTAAAATAAATTTAACAGAGCATGCTAAGCAACAAGACAATTCTTCCATGAGAATCTTAGGATATATTAATATTATCAAATTTAATGAAATGTTTAAATACATACACAATTTTTAAAAGTATGTGCATGAGAAATGTCATAATGTATACTACATAATCATAGATGTAGTAAAATATATATTTAGAATGTGTAGTAAAACCTGTTGAACAGTGTTTCAAATTACTTTTAATTCAGTTTCCAATGACTAAAGCGTAGTTAAAGATGATTGGGTACAACAGTTATGTGTTGGTGGGAGTCACAGTTTAGATATCAAGAGCATTTTCTCTTTTCTTAGGAACCATTCTTGAAATAAACAAACTAGTTCAAATCAAGACAAAACACAGCCATAATCTTATTCAATTGTTAATACTATTTCATGGTAAAATTTCTTAAGCTTTATTGGTTTTTGTGTGTTTTGATCATAAGCCAAATTTGAGGCACCCTACGTAACATTATGCAAGGCATTTTAAAACATTTTATGTCTCCTTTGTTTCTGCCTCCCTGACGTGGATGTTAAAGAAAATATCCTTGCTATATGAAACCATGAACTGATTAAATTCTGGCTTATCAACTTTCATATCTACTTTCGAATTGTATACATGAACATTTAGCAAATTAACCTAAAAATTTAAACTGGTGTGAATTAAATGTCAGTGTGGTAGTTACTTTATTTTGATTAACGTAGTATTTTTAGGTAAATGCTTTTACCCTATAATGTAACATAGAAGTTATAAATTTTGAATCCTCTAATCCAAGCAGTTCCCAATTTGTAGCCAGTTGCACTGTAAATAACCTATACTTGTGAACAGCTATCATATTCCTATATAGCCTCCTATCTCAATGTCCACCTGCTGTTACTTTCTCCAATAGTATCTAGAGAGAACCACTCCTGTAACCTCCATCCATGTTAACCTTACATCTGCTGAGAATCTCTTTGTCTCTACTCCTTTAATATTACAGAATCAGATACATGGGACTCTCTCAATACTTGCCTTTATACTGGGTGTTCAAAAAGAAAAGAATGATAGAGTTGAAGGAACCAAATTTATACTTTACCTAAAAGCATTCAAAATGGGGATTTCATTGATTATATAAGGTGGAATTTTAATTTTATAGGAAAAATGCACTGAGTTTCAAGTAATTAAAAAAAATCACGTTTGAAATGTAATCAGTTCACAAATTGGGAAATATTTGTGAGTGGGTAGTCATAATGGCTATTGTAATTTATTTTCAGGGATTAGTTGTAGGTTAACATCTAAAGCCAGAGTTGGAAGGAACATTTCTACTTTCTAGCTTTGTGACTTTAGGCAAGTTACTTACCCTGTTTTTATCTCAGTTGCCTTATCTGTAAAATGGGGATGATATTAGTAACTACCATGTACATAAGTAAAATCAAGAATGCTGCAAGCCAAGAAATTTCTAAAATAAAAGTAACTTTGTTGGATTGGAAATAGTAATTATCAACAAACATATTCCGATATACAGAAAAAAATTTAATTTGCACCATTAAGTAACATTGAGTGAGCAAAGGTAAAATATGAAAAGAAAAAAAAATATTAATCAGATCAACAATGAAGTTATTTATAAATGGAACTAAAACACGGATAAAAATAGAAAATAGAAGTAAATTATTGGAATATGCGATTATATGAATTAAAGCTTTATGATTTTTCAGTCTTTATGTGGTTATAGTATGTTCTCCGGGAAGTTTAAGATCCAGTAAAAATCTTTATCCCTTCCTTCCAATAAACATACACAGAAGCAAAGCAGAGCAAAACAAAACAAACACTAAGTCATGCAATGGATGTGTTTATTTTTATTTTGTTGCATTAGAATTGGAGGTTATATGTCTCAACTGCTAAATTTGAATCATTAGGTAAGAAGTTTGTTACATTATATTACATAACAAACCAAATTATCTAGTGTTAAGTTTGTATTTTTAACCTTTGTTATATATGTGTTTGGGGATGTCATTACTTATACTAGATAGTAAACTTTCAAAGGTTGGGAAGGGAGCATTTTATTTAGTCCCAGCTCTAGAATTAAATTCCTTATTTATATCAGATGACTAGGTTTACATGGATCTGGGACCAAATGAAAACAATTATTTTGAAAAAGTAGTGATTCTATAAGATTCCTAAATTGGTTTATTTTTAATATTTATTTTGCATCTTTTATATATTTCTAATTTTTTTAATGAAATAATACCAGGGGTCATCAGTCTAACATTTGGGAACTGTTGATGTAATAAGAAACTTAGCACTAGAACAGACACGTAAGTGTTTCCTTCCCAACCCAAGCAGTGTTTCCCACAATTAGCCAGGGATACTGTCTAATAAATCATACAAGTCTTTCTATGATCCACATTTCCATGACAGTGTCAAACACAGAGGAGGTGCTCGGCAAATATTTGTCAAATGAATGAATGAATAGAAACTCAATTGGAGCCACACTATAAAATAAACACAGTTTTCAAAATCCTAAGCCTGCTACAAAGTAGAATTAAACATGAAGTTTATACTAGGTATGGAAGATTTATTGCCTACATTCAATAAAGAATGGTCATTACTTTTAAACATGCTCAGTCAAGTGGCAGAAGTTTTTGAAAATTATCTGGTTTGAATGATGGTTGTAAAAATTCCTCAAAATATTTAGAAAATAACTGACTCAAGAAAATACAAGGACGTTTAGAGTAGACTTTTTAAAAAAAGGGGTTTGGAACCAGTTGGACTGTGAGGCTATTAATAAAGGCACTAATTTTCTCATATGTCATATGGAAATAATAATATCTTTCTTGATTGTGCATAATGACTGTCAGTGATACATAATCCACATGAGCTGAAAACTAGCAGATCTCTAGTAGAAGCTGTAATATATAAGAACTTGCTCCTTCCAAAACAAGAGAATCCCAATTAGAGCGGGGATCCTGGAAGTATTGGGGAATTGTCATGTATGTCCTTATTATTATTCTAGTATACATAAGGACTCCCTGATCCCTGCTTCCTAGTCTTCACAGCTGCAGTGTAGAGCTGAAGCCTTTATAACTCATGTGTCATCTTTAGCTACAGACCCAGAACTGATGTTTCCCGAGCCAGAAAGTGGAACAGGACGTAGGAATTACTCTAAGGAGATAGCAGTAGGGCTTTTATATACATGAGAGTTTTGTCAGCTAAGGGAGGCATCCAGGCCAGTCAAAATCCTTTATTACTGCATCGAAGCAGGAACAAGATTAATAAGCAAAAGGCACAGAAGGTAACACATTTCCACATGCTTTTCTCCATGGCCGACCATTGGGAAAAGTCCTTCCTTGACCAGTTGGGTGCTCTAATGAGGTGCTATGGTTCCATTGCTATCAAAAGCGAATTTATGTTATAAAGTTCCTCTTTTAGAAGTAGTTAATGATTTTTTCCCAATTTAATCCACATGTCTAAACTATCGAACTTGTAAACTTGTTTTTATAGTGTATCTGTTAGAAGTATACTTTGGAGCCAGCTTTCTTCCTTGGGTTAAATCTTCACTTGCGTCACTGCTAACTGTGTGAATTTATGTTCCTATTCAAACGTCACCTTCTTAGAGAAGTCTCTCCTAAGCTCTTTAAATAAAGTAGACCTCTCCTTAAGTAATTCTCTATCCCTTCATTCAGTTTAACTTTCTTCCTAGCATTTGCCACTATCTGATATTATATTAATTACACATTTATGTCTGTGTCCTTGTCTCCCTTGCTTATTGCTGTATGTTTAGCATCTTCTGATATGTCTGGCACATGGTTGGCATACAATAAATACTCATAGAATTAAATAATCACTAATTTCAGTAATGGACTATTTTCAACTCTATGACTTTAATAACATCCTACTTATGCTTCCATGGTTATTCCCCAGTCCTAAGGCTCCAGCAAAACAGTCTTATTCTACTTCTCATTAATCTCCACTTTGATTATTGTCTTAATTCTGCCGGTTCTAACTGTAGTTATATTGTGGCTGACTTCTAAAGATAAAATAGCCTCCGTTGTCTTTGATGACAATTTGCTCTTTCCAGAGCCCACTAGGAATTAAAAAGGAAATTAACATATCTTTCATGGTCTTAACTTTTTTTTTCTTGCCATAAAACTTCTGATTCTTATGTAGTCTCAACCTCAAAATGCATCTCTCATTAATGGTAAAATCTAGAAAGGGTATTAAAGTTAAATCATCTTCCTGAGTTTACACAGGTGATGACAGTAATATAATGTACTTTGTTTTTCTTTCAGATCTCCAACTAAAGACATGGATTCAGAAGAGAAAGAAATTGTGGTTTGGGTTTGCCAAGAAGAGAAGATTGTCTGTGGGCTAACCAAACGCACCACCTCTGCTGACATCATCCAGGCTTTGCTTGAGGAACACGAGACTACGTTTGGAGAGAAACGATTTCTTCTGGGGAAGCCCAGTGATTACTGCATCATAGAAAAGTGGAGAGGCTCTGAACGGGTTCTTCCCCCATTAACAAGAATCCTGAAGCTTTGGAAAGCATGGGGAGATGAGCAGCCTAATATGCAGTTTGTTTTGGTTAAAGCAGATGCTTTTCTTCCAGTTCCCTTGTGGCGGACAGCTGAAGCCAAATTAATGCAAAACACAGAAAAACTGTGGGAGCTCAGCCCAGCAAATTACATGAAGACGTTACCACCAGATAAGCAAAAGAGAATAGTCAGAAAAACTTTCCGGAAACTGGCTAAAATTAAGCAGGACACGGTTTCCCAAGAGCGAGATAGTATGGAGACATTAGTTCATCTGATTATTTCCCAGGATCATACTATTCATCAACAAGTCAAGAGAATGAAAGAGCTGGATCTGGAAATTGAAAAGTGTGAAGCTAAATTCCACCTCAACCGGGTAGAAAATGATGGAGAAAATTATGTCCAGGATGCATATTTGACGCCCAGTTTCGGTGAAGTTGAGCAAAAACTAGGCTTGGAGTATGATGAAAACCAGATTCTGGAGGACCTGAGAGAAAGTGATGGAATTGTACAGCTGGAGGAACGACTAACATATTATAGAAAGCTCATTGATAAGCTCTCTGCCGAAATAGAACAAGAGGTAAAAAGTATTTGCACGGAGATAAATGAAGATGCGGAAGGGGCAGCTGCAAGTGAACTTGAAGGCTCTAATTTAGAAAGTGTTAAGTGTGACTTGGAGAAAAGCATGAAAGCTGGTTTGAAAATCCACTCTTACTTGAGTGGCATCCAGAAAGAGATTAAATACAGTGACTCATTGCTTCAGATGAAAGCTAAAGAATATGAGCTCCTGGCCAAGGAGTTCAATTCCCTTCATATTAGCAACAAAGATGAATGCCAGCTAAAGGAAAACAGAGGAAAGGAATCTGAGGTCCCTACCAGCAGTGGGGAGGTTCCTCCTTTTACTCAAAGAGTATTTAACATGTATTCAAATGACACAGACTCGGACACTGGTATCAGCTCTAACCACAGTCAGGACTCAGAAACAACGGTAGGAGATATGGTGCTGTTGTCAACATAATTTGAATGGCTTCTTTCTGACCTACTTCAATGTTGTTCGCGTTTGTTTAATTTAGTAGGAAACGTTAAATATTCCATTCTGCAAAAAAATGTAAATCACGTTAAAGTGTTCGGTAGTTAATAAAAACTAGAGAATTTTGTAAGTTTGTTTTTGATTTAAGAGTTCCAATGTGACCTAATTATTGCAAGTTCAAACAATGAACTCTTTATTAAGAATGCAGCACAAATAGCTTGCAGGTATATAACAGAGAAATAATTTGATGGGAATTATCATCTCATAGCTTCTGTGAGAAATGATTTATTCAAACTGCAAACTAATTCTTGATATTAGTCAATATATTGAAACTATACACATGAACAAGTAAAATTAAAATGTACTGTTATATATTTTTCAACAATGTATCATTGGAATTTTATAATCTGTAAAGTACATGACAGCTACTATATTGTAACTGTATTAATTCAAATTCTGATTTTTTTCATTGATATTTAGAATGTGTATCATCTCTGTTACTTCCTGAACCCCTCTACCTGTTAGGCCTAGATGACAGGAAGTGGGAAGGGTTGCTATTGGGACATGTACAAATACCAGCAGTGGATCAGAGAGGAGTATAGAAGCCTAAAATTATTAAGGGATATGAATGTGCTTTCTCTCCCTGATATGCAAAACTTTGGTCAGACCAATGGTCTGTGCAGTTTCATTCCTTGAATGAGATATGGCGTGGGTTACAGAGAAAATCACAGGGTCCTAGTCCTGTTAGATTATACCTTATCTACAAAGGTTGAAGGGATGCAACTTGGGGTCCTTCCTGTGGGTAAAATAGAGTTCTACGTGCCATAAGTATTAATATTAGCATTTCGTCTCTGAACATATAGATAGGACCTAATATGGACAAAAATCTTTTATTCTGCTACACTATAATTCAGATTATCTTTGTAGTACTTCATCTAAGGTGCAAACTGAAAAAAACTGAAAAAAAGTGCTAGCTCTACTCTCTACCCCACCCTCAAGCGCGATAGTAAATATTCAACAAATTGAATAGATTATTTAGATCCTATCTTGACTGACAGTCATTACAGTGCCAGAAGAGGCTTGGTTCTGCTCATTTTTAGTTAGGAAGTTCCTTTCTCTTTCTCTCTCTTCTCTCCTGCTTCTTTCCCTTCTTTATTTCTTGCTATTGAACATATATCATATTGAAAACAGTTTGTTTTATTGTACTGTTCAATGAATACAGCTGCAGTTTATTTTTTCTTTAGCTAACACCTTTCCCATATGTCAGTGCACATGTAAGTAGAAATATTATTTTACTTAGTTTTAATATGTGGATATTGGTTAAGATTCCCAGTATTTCTCATTTCTTCCCTTTTATCCTTATGTTTACTGTAGTGTATGTTTTAACTCAGTTTCCTAATCTATTTTAAAATTTCTCCATCCCCCAGATTTCACCTATCTTTGGGAAGATATTTAGAACTTTCTTAATATTTCACTTTTGGAGAACATCTAATGTTATTATTTTTCATGCCAAGATATTGCTGAAGGCCTCATTTGAAGTTGGATGGTAAGAAAAGTAGGAATTTCCATTCTAGGGAAACTAAGGTGATAAACAGTAAGTAATAACACTAACATGGGTTTAATTTAAAAGAAATAAGAAGGGAATTGAACAGTCATCTGAGAAAGGGAAGTTTATTTGCCTAATATCCCATTAAATCATTCAGCACTATGGTAAGCTATTGAGATATTTATTGTTCACTCCTGGGGATTAAACTCAGAAGATCATCATCAAAGATAAACCAATCGTAATGTTTTTCTAAAGTGAAAGTCATCTCTTTGTATTACTCTTTAGTGAGAAAATAATGAAAAGAACATTGTTATCTGCTATATAATTTGATTAATTATCTGAATTCAAAAGAGGTTCTGATAAGAAACAGGACTAGACAGATAATTTCATTTTAGAAACTGCATTAATGTCTGCCTTTATACAGTTAAGCACAGTGATGCATTCTAGGGGCCAATTCTATATTTTTAGAGTAGATAACGTTAAAAACTCGTCAGAAAGCAAGACCATCAAGTTTTAAATTCACATTAGAATTTCTATTTGTTCTTTAGTTATATACAAATGTATTTGTGCTTTTGATTCATTACAATATTAAATCATCAGTTACCATGGTGAATCTCTAATTTGGAGTAATAATACAAATAAAAATACTAAAATACGATGCACTCATCTCTGGATACTGAGCTATTCTTTATCAAATTAAGTGAGAATTTATATTAAGAATTTATAACTTGATAGAAACCTTAATGTTTTAATTATTTATAGAGGCTTTAAAATAAAATGTTTATAAATTCTTGAGTAACCTGACAGGTTAACTATGAAATTGCTATATGCAGCTAGAAGTAGCAAACCAAAGCTGACTAATCTTTCCTATAACAAGACAGATTTTCATTGACTGTGCCTTGTTCATCCTCCCACTTGCAATGTCTTTTTCCTCCATCTTCTATACACTGAAATCCCACCCATTTCAGGTTTTTAACATGTTATCTCTTCTATAAAGCATATATTGTTCCATTCAACCTGTTGTAAATTTCTGAACCCACAAATATTTTAGTGTATTTTTCATAGAGGAACATTTATATTCTAACTTAGCTTATGTTTATTTATGTACTCATCTAACTTCCCTCCCCCAATGTATTTTTGATTGTATTACTTTGTCTTCTATCTTGTTGACCTTATTCCCTACAACAACCTCTTTGCCCCTACTCAGTTTTGGAATTGAATTGCTAAATTTTAGAAGATTGTAACCTGTTAAAAAAGTTATTTCCATACATGGTAAATGATGCTTGTGCATTTTATACAGAAATATGCATTTTAGAAGACAAAATATTAACAGTAATTCTACTTATATATTCTTTGGGGAAAGCACTAAATCTTAGGGTTATTATGAAAAAATTTTAAAGTAGTGTCAATTTTCTATTTTACTTTTAATTCACAGAGTTACTGATTTAAAACAATGGAAATATTGTCTTTTTTTAAAGCCCCTCAATGGTTAAATTATAGTATTTTCCTCTGCATCCCTTGCATGTAAGAAAAATTATATTTTATAGAACTAGATTTTAAGTGGTAGACACACAAAATAACTTCAAAGTCTCTTTTAAAAATATCTATTTTATTTTCTTTTTAATTAAAAACATAAATGCCCTCTCATTAGCGTGCAGAAGCTATCCTAATCCATTGAAATTTTATTTTTATATTTATTTAAACATCTATTGTACATGACAAAATATATTTCTGTGGCTGCATTTCATAATTTTTCTAAGTAGGATTATTGTTTGATTTAAAATATTTTTCTAGTGACAAAGGAATACCTTTTAACATAGATTTCTTTTAAATATTAGGCTATTTCATTTCATACTACCTGATTGGTTTAATAACCTGATATGACAAATATAAAGTACAAATAATTTCTTCAAGTGTAACTGATCCAGAATAATAAAAGGAATGGTTGTATTCTTTCATGAGATATTGTTTGTTTTTCTGGGTGTGTTACTTGGCTATATTAAAAATAAATTTTGTATCAGTTGAAATTATATAATTGCTGAGCTAACTCACACAAGTTAAGATCAGATATTGTTTCATGACAATATATATAGCAAAAAAGATCTAACAAAACTTTTTGTTGGGTTTCATACATATTTGTTTCAATTTGTCATGAAAGTATGTCCTCACTTTTACACTGGATAGCTGGTTTTATGGCCTGGTATGTTGCTTTCTAGAATGAAATCCATTTTAATGTAAAAATACTCAAGTGTAAATCTTACTTGCTATTATTCAGTTTGTCACTACCCTTATTTCTCAAAATAGGCCTTTAATTTTGACTGTCTTTGAAACTAAATCATTTGAAAATTAAGGAAACTCATTTGCTCCTTCTATAAATGACCATGAAATTACTCTATTAAAAGACTGTATATAATGTTCAGTAATGACACATAGAAATAAGTTAACACTATTTTCTTAGCCAGTGTATCTCAATAGTGAGAGAAAACATACAATAGTCATTTTGTTAATCTAGCATTAATTTGTGTTTTCAACGACTGTTGGAATTGAGAATCACAATTTGTAGGTTTCATAATTAATAGTTCCATATCAGGAAGTGAAAAACTAAATGATTACCTTCATATTTAAAAAAAAGCAACTTAAATATTATATTTTTCCTAAATAGAAATATCAGACACCTTTTTACAAAAGACTACTAAGTCTTTCCTTACATTTCATATGTATATATAATGCATGTGTAATACCATTGAATTTATTTTCAAGTAAAATAGACACATGATATTCAAATTATTATTACTATAACTCAAACTACTCAAAAAATGTGCACCATGAAAAGTAAGTCTCCCTTCTGTCCCATGGCCTAATTACCCAGATATCCTCCTCAGAAATATCACTGTTATTTATTGTTCTAGAGATAATCTATGCATATACAGATCTATACATATATATTCCTACATTATTCATGTAGCGATTCCTTATTCTGTTTGATGGCAGCAGGGAATTTCACTATATCAATTATCATAATTTTATTTCACCGGTCCTCTTTTGATGGGCATTTCTGTGTCTCCCAATCATTTACTATTATAAACAATCATTTACTATTATCCCATCAATGCATTTCTGAGAGGCTAGATTACTAGATGTAGAAATGTGTCAGAGTGACAAATGGATTTTTTTAAATTTAACAAACATTGCTGGTTATTCTTTATGGAAATTAACTCTTTAACAACTGAGTTGGAAATGTACTCCTCCCTCCCACGGTGTGTGCTGTTTGTCTTTTTTATTTTATTTGAATGCAAAAATGTTTTTTAATTTTTTGAATTTGAATTTATGGATTTTTCTCATTAATAACACGAGGGTTTTTTTCTTGTTTTTGGTTATTCTTAAAAAGGCCTTTCCATTGCGTGATAAGTAATTTTAAAAATAAGTTTCTATCATGTCTTTTTTATACTATGCTTTATGTTTTACTTTTAAACATTTGAACTATCTGAAATTCAGTTTGTTACAATGTTCAGAAGTAGAAAGAGTTTTTTTTTGATAGTTACCAGTTATCCCACATCACTTACCAAATAAATTTGTCCCACCTTTCTTTGGTGAACCAATCTCTGGTATGTATTTGGGGTCTATTTCTGGACTTCCTATACCATTCCATTGATTTGGCTGTGTATTTTATTAGAATTTGTGCTATTACCATGTACGGGCCCCACCACTCAGATTACTGAAGAACTTCTCACTTTGGAAGTAGAATACAGTTGACTCTTGACCAACGCTGGTTTGAACTGCACAGGTCCACTACACTTACATGCAGATTTTTTTCATTAAATATGTACTGCAGTACTACATGGTCCACGGTTGGTTGAATCAGAGGATATGGAACTGTGGATAGCAGAGAGCAGACTATGAAGTTATACACAGATTTTTCAGCTTTTGGGGGTCCGTGCTCCTGACCCACGTGTTGTTCAAGGGTCAACTGTAAATGAAATGGCCTACTAGTCACCTAGATTTACTTAAGGCAATTGCGATAACTAACATTGGAAAGTAACTTGCGAATATTGGTATCTATCAACAACTCTCAATTATTCACAGCTTTCAGTCAGTACTCCTATTGTTCATAATAAATGGCAAGAAAGTATTCCAAAAGTTATGAAAACACATATGCATTTAGGTTTTATAGTTTTATGAATTTAAAAGTCCAATAATAGACAAATTATTAGGTAAATTCTGAGGTATTATTTGTGTGAGAAATTTATAAATATTAATTCTGATGTTTATAAGACCATACAACAGTGAAATTCTAGTTTAAAAGAAAGGAATTAAAAATGTATATAGACCAACCCTGTTTTAAAAAAACCCATGCATACCAGAAAGCAAATCATATAAAAATGGAGATGCATAATTTTTGCTGGGTTTTTAT